CGCCGCGGGCTTCGAGACCGAGCTCCCACTGGGGCCGGCCTGCACGCGGCGCGCCGGGGCCCGCGTGCGCCTCGACCATCGCCGACACACGCGCTCCGAATTCGAACTTTAGGACACTTAATGACTCATGTGTGGGCCTACTAGTTGGGTGTGTTGTTTAGTGGTAACATAAACTTTGTGTGACGTACTAAACGTAGTCAATGATAGATAGTATTACAATAGCAGTACATTTTATGAAGTGGAATAAACCAACAAGTGTAAAGATGTAACTTAGTTGAAGTGAATATGATCCCACGAGCAAAGCTTGTGTTTAGTTCCTATGCTTGGCAGGTATACATTTTAGTAACGTGTTATATCTAAACGCATAACTTTTATGTTATAATAGATTTTATGAAATGTTTCATTGAACATTTTCTGTGGCTTAAACCAGATATTTGTATTTTATTTGCAGCACAGGTTTGCTGTGGGAAATAAAGTTATTACGAAATAGAACTTATTATTAGTTAAGTGCAGTCACATTATAGTTTAGCAAGTAGGATAATTTTTGCAATGTTTTCTGTAAGTCATTGTTATTTATAAAGGTAGAATAATTTTCGATATAGCATGGGTGTCCCCTAGGTACAGATTGCATTTACCCAAATCGATTCCGGTAACATTTAAATGTGAAGTTGTTCAGTTTCATAGAACTAAAAACTTAAAAATTGTTTTTGGATTGCAACTCGACCAATATGACCGAATTATATTGCAAAAGATCGTAAAGTATTAAAAGAAGGCCGCAGTATTGCTACGGAATTTTACGAAGCGTTCGTACAGTTGGCTTTGTACCAAATACGATATGAACAAGAAGTACTTTTATATTCCCTTAAAGAATAATACTAATAACAATACTATACAAATTGATCAACACTATAGTACTATAATTGTAATTTTACTTGATACAAATTATACGAGTACGAATATTTTATATTAAGACCAAAATGGCAATACAGAAGTGGTCACTTTACTTAAATTCGTTACGCCAGTGATTTCAACAGTTCTATACTTTCCCTCTGCTTTCCTAGCGACTGACAACTGTGACTATAGTCGTAATGTTTGAATGTTCCAATAAAATACATGTAAATGTTCTTTGTTAGAATATTTGATCATTATCGTGTAGGGACCAGTGAAGATTATGTTAAAATTAGCTTATTTTAATTTGAATTATTGGTAAACGCTAGTAGTGTAAGATTTGAATAATATAAATGTTTATAAATGTATAGATTATGACATTTACTATACAATTAGTTACAATCTTCACTGTTCCCTGTTTTATTTGGATGTAAATATGTAATAGAAATATGTACATACACGAGTAGCGTGCGAGTAAATGTGCATGGACAGACGAAATAGTACTGATATGAGCTTAAACGAAGTAGTGCCTACGAATATATGCTTATACAGTATAAAGCGATTAAACTACATTTAATAATTCTTTACTCTGCTGGGTAAAGTATTTCATACATTTATCAATATTAGAACAGTTACGCTCCAAAGTGATATCTACATTTATGTCATGGTAAACGGGACGTTTAAATTTTTATGGCTGTGTCCAAATAGGGTTTGAAACCTTTTAATGTCTTCGAGATTTGTCTCTTATAAATGTATATTTATTATTATAACGATTGTAAAAGATTTTGGCAACATTTCGGATACGTAAAATCAGTAAAAAACAAATTAAAAGTTATGAATTTAAAAACGAAAAGGCACATTCATATTATGAAACTAAACATTTTGTATAGTTGTGAAAAGAAATTAATAATTTAAATAAATCGGCAAAAACAACGACCACGTCAACAACAGTTGTATCACAGTCATCAATTTATTTGAATACATACAAGCCCAGAACATATACCTATCTACATATTTGTATTAATAATGTACTTTTTTCTAAGTAATATAATAATGAGTATAAAGTAATTACAACGTTCGCTTAGAGTAGGAATACGGGAATTACGCAGAAGGATAGTTTTTTTAATGTTGTCACATGAATGTACCAATCTTATAAAATTTTTGTACCTATGTTCGGAAAGTTGGATAATTTGTAGTTAGGATCCAATCTAACTCCTGCATTTCTTCAAAGAAACTATTTATTACATGTGCCTTGGCTTATGAAAAATAATTACGTTAATTTATAACAATTATGAAAATAACAACTTTACATAAAGTTTAAGGCATGTTTTAGTATAGCCTAATCAGAAATATAAATGCTCTACGCCATATTGCGGAAATATTTGGAACTAACTTGCGCAGTTTAGAAAGTGATGTTATAAAGAAAGCTATTGTAGAGCCCTCAGACCAGGGTGCGTATATTCTTGATTAGGCTATAACTTTATTTGTTTTATGACCGGTTACAAAAGTTAGAAGACGAGATGATTTCTAACCCTTTGCGTTGAATTACGATTATTTTCTTTGTTAGTGGCTACAAATATACTGTTAGGGTTACAAATAGGGAAAGTAATAAAATAATAGTTCTATAATATTTAGTTATGTCACAAAACGTTTGAGTCTGAAAATGATTGTGTCTAAGTCTGTGTGCATCATTTTCAATCATATCATCATTAGATAAGTCAAAAAACATCTGAGAAATATTAAGAAGTAAAGATAAATAACAGGAAGTTTTTGTAATCGTGTTAAAATTATCTTACAGAATGAATATTGTATGTCAATAAATAGATGGAGCTTTTAATCATTTCTTGCTGTAAAGTTTATTATATGTGTTCAATGTAATATATGTAATGAGTGTTTCATAATTGTATTCAATATTTGTAGAGGAGTTGATACAACTTTCCGAAGGTACGCACTAGGCGACTGAGAGCTATTATCATAAATGCATCAAATAAAGAGTTTGTTAAATGTTCAATATTTTTATTTAATAATACCCTGACGATGTACATAGACCAGAATGTCCAAATAAAGGAAAAGAAGTTATTTATGTGAGGGACTATGTATCTTTGTAAGGGACGATCTCCTAAATTATGCAATGCGTGCCCATGGGGACATAATTTATTTGACAATAGTCAAAAGTGTATGTCAACATTTCCTCTTTTTAACTTCAACGTTAAAAAAGCTAGTTATTTAAATTTAAGAGTGTAGAATATTATCAAAACCGTTTAACCTAACTATAATTTGCTTAAGTCTATGTATATTTTAGAGACCTTTCACAACCCTACTCTCGTTCGGTTGTTTTCATTGTAACTTAATCACAACAAGAGGATAACAAATAGGTCCTTATGCCGGATTACAAAACAAAACACGCACGCATTTACCCCACCGCCGCCATGACTAAACAAATATTAATTGGCGTAGCAAGATATTTATCTAAATCTGATAACAGCGAAACTAATTAACCACTTTTCAGCTGTTAAATTACAGAAATACATCGTAAAAACGAATGCCCTTTAAAGTGGGAAAAGTTTAAGGCAATTAAACGATTATAAGTTGTTATAAACAATATTACAAATATAAGTTACTAAGTATAAAAATGCAAGAGACATGTGTTCCTAAAACACCAAGAAACAAATATTACATTTGAAAAAAACACGTCTTTAAAATTAGGCCGCGTTATTTATTGCAGACTAGCTTTCGCCCGCAACACCGTCTACGTGGAATTAAATAAAAAACAAAAGCGAGTGTATTTATTCCAGACTATCCTATACATCTATACCAAATTAAATCGAAATCCCTTCAGCAGTTTAGGCTACAATCTTTAACAAACATCCATCCAACCATTCATCCATCTAAACCTTCGCATTTATAATATTTACTAGTATTATCTATGTTATTTCATAATAGCACTTACCTGTACTCGATCTTCAGTAACTCTGTAAGTTCTGTCGACGTTAGCACCCCCGATCACAAGTACTGGATTTGCCAAATTCTCTTTTTTGATAAACGTGCCGATTTCCTCGCCACGATCCAACTTTCCAAGGCGTAAATTACATGCAGTATGAAATTGTCTGGTTCCCAAATTCCCGGAGGATCCGGTATTAAAGGAATTTCGTGCGTAGTTCACATTCTTCAGTTTTTGAAACTCGACGGCAATGTCGGCGCCCACTTTTGCGTTGTTTTTTATTAGAGCGATGTCTGTTAGCGTTGAGGAATTTTTAAATTCGAAAACTTTTATTGTGAAACAGAAATTTATACTGAACTGGAACGTGTTCACCATTAGTTAGTAACTACTAAATTTGATGTTGGAACGGAAAGTCTTATTTGACTTATTTCTATTTAATATCCTAACTTTTGCTGATCAGAACTAATGAAATAATTTAAACAGAGATGTAGCAGTATTGAGAAGCACATACACATATATACTTAGTATGTCTACGGTGTATATCAAAAGCATTAAAAAGGATACTAGTGCTGAGAGAAGCACCTCCGGTAGCTTTAGACACAGCGGCGAGTATGTATGGTGTAACTTCCTTCCCTTTAATTCCTTTCTTCTTTGCATCCTTCAAAGCACATTGTATCGCATCCTCTATAACATTTTCTGTAAACGCAAGACAAAGACATTTAAGAAATACATAGACTAGGCATAGTGAACAATTTTTTTTCACAGGTACTTTCTCTGAAAGGTACTATATCAGTTGTCAAGTTTAGTACGATACTTCGTGTCCTAGTATTGACATGTGACAAAACATTTTACAAAATTATAATAAGCCCTATGTTTTTTTAATGTTAATTAAATATAACGATATAGTTAGTTAAATATAAACAAACAAAAATTATTTAAGTACATTTATTTACACTTTTATGCGATTTTATCTATCAATAGATAGCGTTGAAATGTCTCAAGTGAAGTGTAAATTATGTCATCTCTATTTGTTTTTTGAATATCTTCGTATTGAAACTTTCATACCATCCATAGCATGTTCCTGGGGCACTGGCACAGCCACGACGATGCCTGATTGTAGCCGCAGTTGTCTCGCAGCATGCAGGATGCGGGCAGCGTGCGGCGTGTCTGCGGCGCGGTGCGGCGCGCGGTAACCAGACCGTGGTGTATAGAAAGCGGGGAAGTCATCGGTAGGACCAAACGCACATACAGTCACGCCATGAGTTTCCTGATAGAGTAGAGACATATGTTGCGTTATTAACAAACTAACTAGCTGTTTCTCTCGTCCATGGGAAAAAAATACGTAGCTTTCTAATGGTGAAATAATTATTGAAATCGGTCAAGTAGTTTTTGAGTTATTTTAATATATACTTAAATACAAAATTACAAATCCTTTCTCTTTATAACATTAGTATAGACTACTATAGAAGTATAGAAAGGTACGAGGCTGAGTGTTGAGGTAAAAACTAATTAATGAGATATATGGCCCTACTAGCTATCGCCCGTGTCTACGCCCGCGCGGAATTAAAAAAAAATACTTAATAGGTTACTCTTTTTCCCGGCCATCTTCTTCATATTTGCCAAAGTTCAGCAAGATCCTTGGAGTCGTTCTGTAGATTGATTATGTATAACAAACATCCGTACATCTTTACTTTCGCATTTTTAGCATTAGTAAAAAGAAGAAAGAAAGAAAAAAAGGACGGACTTTTTACTAAATTAATCATTTAGCTCATCAATAGACACTTAGAATAAAACCGTAGACGCAGTTTGCAGTAGAAAAAATTATTGTTGTAGAGCAATTTTAGCATTTACAGCCTATATTATAGTAGGCAAGGTCACAAGATAGAATTTAATTTTCGAACGCGGAGTCCAACATTAAATATGATATTGATATAACTTTGAATTAAAGCTGACGCAATATTTTAAACCAAATGGCTCTGCGGATTCTGATACCGAGCTTACGAAGCTGCGCACACTTTTAATAATGGCTTTGAGTGAAAAAATTTAAGCTTCGCAATAAATATGGTTTGTTCCGAATATTTAATATCACATATTCAGTATTTAATTTAACTTTAAAATGGTTAAAATTTCCATCCAGAAATAAACTAACATTTGAAATAACATACAAGTGACAGACGGAGATTTCAAGGTATTTCATTTTCTTATTTATTGAGGTATTTACAAATAATTCTAGGTTAAAAATCTACGTTCGGTTGAATATCAAAGACTCATTAATCGTACTATAACGATATTAAGTAACATCTGGCATATAATATTGATTGTTATTAACAGAGGTCTAGTATTACCAAGTATTCCAGTGTCCTCCCGATGTCAAGAATGGATTTAACTCCGCTACAAACAACTAAAGTGCGGCTTCGACCCAATTCGGTTAAGTCTGCCGAGACGTCCATTGTTTGCTCACCTTCCCTGTGCACTCCACCTGTTTGAATTGCTTTATTATAAACAAATATAAAATAGAAAAGAAAAGTGAGAAGCTATGGAACTAAATTATAAGATCGTTTCAATACTTGACCGTTAGTATTGAATAATGTTAGTTCATTGAATATTAAAAGGTTAAGATATGGATGAGACCTTTAAGCTATGAATGTGAATTATTAGGTACATGAAATATAACGTATAACAGACACTTGTTACAGGGGTAATGAATAATTTGATCGGCGGCATGCCGCGGGCCCGCACCTGGCTATATCCATGATAAATGAGGGTTCTTACCAAAACACTCCCTTCCTCATCATTTAACCCGAAATTAGATTGTAACATCCTAAACTTGTTTAATCTCATTTTGTAATTATTCAAAATTATTCAAAGTTTAACTTGTTAATTCGATTAATGTTGTGGTATTGTGTCCTTGGAATTCAGATAAAAAACGAAAATCCTTTTAAAATAACAGTAAAGAAAAACATTTTCAATGTCTATGTGAAATTTGTTATATGTAGAAAAAAATAGCCTACAATCTATACTCTATACTATTATAATAAAGCGTAAACACACACTGCTTTGTTGCCTAAGATCTCAGCAATTACAGCATATTTTTGAATAATGTTTTTTTTTAAAAAAGCCCTACACTTACGTCACGCTTTAGGCTATATATTTTCACGCCATTAAACTTAGAGGGTAAATATTTTTGATAAAAACCCTAATGTCGGAAAGAGACCATACGTTGCTGCCAACATCAAGAAAACAAGATTGCTATAGTAAGGTAATTGGCATTTTGACATTTGCAATTGAGAATTTGACAAGTGCAAACAATAAATTTATAATTTCATGCGGATGAAGCCGCACGCGACCAGCTAGTGATTTTATAAAAGTTTTAGTAAAGTAATACGTATTTTACATGTATTTTTCCATTGTTTAATATTCCTGATATTGTAATGCAACTGAAAAAATATTCAGTTGTTCAAATACTATATTGTTTTATTTATATTTCGTTTTTGTTGGTCACAGTGTGAAAGTTAATTAATTTACTGCAAAGGCAATATGAATTTTCATCAGTGGCCAGTGTTACTGTAGCAGATCGTATCTGTCGCCGGTACAACAAAGGCCGAGTGAAACTGTCTGGGGAACAACGTTTAATATACATAGAGAATATTGCCGTTTCAATTTTATTCGTTTGTTGCGGGCCAGAGAATAACATAAAACATGAGTATACTTCTATAAAAATACTAGCTGTTGCGTGCGACTTCGTCGGCGTGAAATTGAAAAATAATAAAAAATATAGCCTATATTACTCACAGGTAATTACCATTTTAATGGTGAAAGAATTTTTAATATCGGCCCAGAAGATTTTGAGTTATTTCAATACATATACATAAAAATACAAATCTTTCCTCTTTATAATATTAATATAGATCTATGTTATTTCTAAAAAAGTCAAAAATTATGATACTTAGTAGATAAACAAAGTGCATTAAACTTGTCCTAAAAGAGACTCCAAATTCACCTACCTATGCCACCAGTAACAAATACATCGATATCTGCCAACTCTGAAGCTATGATAGTCCCTGCTACAGTAGTAGCGCCATCCTGATTACCAGCCATGACAGGCGCGAGGTCTCTTCGAGATGCTTTCACTACGCCCTTAGTTTGTGCTAGGTACTGCAGCTGTTGCTGCGTCAAGCCTACCGTTAGCTGACCTTTAAGGATCGCTATTGTTGCGGGCGTTGCTCCCTGTTGAAAAATATATGCATGTAAAACTCAACATTCATATGAAAAACGAAAAAGAACGCATATAACTTAGATTTAATTTCCAGTTGGAGTTTGTTGAAATTTTAAGATTGTTAAAATGTAGTTACACGCCATTTAACAAAGTTTTAAGAACTCACAACACTAAAAGAGAAGCTAACTAACTAAAAATTATTAGAACATTTGTTACCATTCCCCTTATTATATTTTCCACCTCTTGAGCTGTTTCCAAATTTTGCGGGTAAGGCATGCCGTGTGTTATAATTGTGGATTCCAGTGCTACGACGGGCTTCCCTTCAGACTTTGCTTGTAGGACTTCTTCCGAAAAGAGCATTGGTAGGTTTGAGTTTCTTAGATTGGAATACCTTCGTCGAAATAAAGAACGGAGACATCTTGATGAAGACGTTAGGAGAAATGCCATCACCTAAAATATAATAGTTCATTTAATAAAATTTATCACCTTAAGAAAATAACAGTAGAAGATTGCAATTTATTTTTTTAAGTGCTGTTAAACTCTGAATAAAAACTATTCACTTTAAAAACACGTACAATAAAACCATTTAAAAGCCGCACGCGAAAAGATAAACTCTTTTAAACGGCTCTTTGCATTATGTAAAAAATGCGGTTTACTTTTATTTAGAGTAGCAAATGTTGAGGTCGGGGTAGAGAGCAACGCGTGGAGTTTGTACCAACATAATGATGTCGCGACATACGCTTTTAACGTAAGTGTTTTACATTGTAAAAAAATATTTCATGCTTACCTGCAATTTAAAATTAGAACACTACGAAAAAGTAAGCTTTGTTCATTTTATACGAAGAATTAACCACAGATAAAAAACGAAGATGACTGCTAAGGTATAACTTGAAAATAACGCAGTATCTAAAACTCGCTTTAGTTTGGATAAGTCTAAAAAAGGTTTGTTCGAATTGTAGTTTTAACGATTATTTAAAAAGAATAAAGTTATTCAATAAAAATTGGTCGGCATTTACAGCTTGCGGCAAAAGTAAGTTATTTAATAATGTTAAAAAATTCAGTAAAATTTTAATACAGTTAAAAACGATCTCGTAAAGATTACAAATTCCTTTTTCACAACGTTTAAATTAATTTCGAGTATTACATTAATTTGAATTTAAATTTAACGCTGTGCTTAAACATCGCCAAGCGCAACTTTAAAATTCATGAAGTTTAAATTCGTTTGTGGTGTTTTGATGAATTCAGGCATTGAACGCGACGCAAAAAAATCATGAATTCAAAGTGGCTTTGAATTACATTTGGGTTTAATATCAATATTTTTGGCAAGTATTTTCAGACCCGAGTAACGATTTTAAAGTAATAAGTATAGTATAATATTTGTTAAAAAAAAGTAGTATATTTTAAGCAAATATTATTCCGATATTATGAAGTAAGACGTGCCATCCTTAAAAATCGATTTAATTATCTGTCCCAAGTCAACAGAATATCCAAAAATGTACATTTTTAAAAGATCTGAATTATTAATTAGAAAAGATTTTGTACCCTGAAATATTTTTTGCCCGCTTGTATTGTTGGCTCAAAGTAACTTTTACGTAAAATTAAACAATTTTTCTCTTGTTTTGGCGGAAATTATTCTCAAAGGCCTTTGTGTCCGTACGGAACTTCAGTTAGAAGGGAGTATTAATTAAACTGTATCCTTATTGTGTACAGACTTTTCCATCAAAGCCGATTTTGTAATATATCAAAGAAAATATAATAGAATCAAGTTTTATTTGTAGCTTAAATGACATTGTAATAATAATGTGAAACGGTTATGAAGACTTTTTATTAGAAAAGCGCAATATTAAAGACATGGAACAACGCAGTTTAACTTTAAAATTAAAAACTTGATCGGTTATTGTTTGCGATACTTGTTATCTCAAGGGTTACAGTTAATTTAAGCACGCGCGGTACACATCTTTTATCCATAGACCACAGAGTGTGTCCGTTATGGTGTTACCACAAGTATTTCCAATTTTATAAATAAGTCTGAAAAATTAAGTTTGTATATTTAAAAGTAAATTAAAAATACATTAAAGTGACATGTAAAAGTACTGAAAATTAATATTATGTGAATTTGGTAGAATTCACTTGCATATTTTTTTATTTTACTAAACTAGTGAAATTGAAAACGAAGAGGTAGGATTAGAAATAAACACAATTATTTTAAAACACTACAACAATGTTATTCAATGTAATTTTGTCGCCGGCCATATCGATTTCTTGGTAATTATTCGACATGGCAAGTGGTATTTTATCTGTGGCATATTTTGTTTACGTTTACTTCTTAATCTTGCATTGTATTTGTATACGATTGCGCTTGCGGTTTTCATAATCCATGTTTTGAACATTAAAAGCAAATTGATTGTCATTTTGATATAACATTTTAAAAATGTTAAGCTTTGTTGTGTTACGGCGTGCTTCAATTTTTTGTTACAATTGTATCATAACCTCAAACAAGTCATTCTAAAATTGTATTATTATAAAATAAAAGTGAGAAAAGCATAACGCATGCAGTTGTTAAGTAATGTTATCTTCATTTTAATTACTTACGGTGTTGACTTTGTCTAGTTTAAAAGCAAAAATTAATCACTATCGAGCTCAGATGTTTGACATACGGTCACTGTTAACGACAGGTGACATTGAAATGTTAACAAGATTTTAATTGTAGGTACACATTTTTATATGGGTTGCGAGTTAAATAAATTTGTAACAATTACTTGTAGTTAAATGGAAGTATACAAAATATGACACAAGTATTTAACAAATGCCACTTATTAATTTGCTTACCTTAAAATTTGAGGTTAATTTAATTATCTATGATTTTTAACAAGACCGGTTCTTGACATTTACGTGAGTGATTTAACTAAACTAATTTTAAATTAAACTATTAATATTTTTGCTGTGTAAATAAGATGCTGAGTGATGATTCGAATATTAGCGCCTTTAAAAATGTTAAAGGCAAAAACATACATCAGATGAATGTTGCCAAGTGCAATTTTTTAATACCGCAGATTTTTAAATATTGATACAATTATACACATACTATACAGGAATTTACAAGACGGTATAAATACAAATATAATAAATTGCAATATTAATTTGCACTCAGTTTACATAGTTTAGGGCTATCTATCCAACGTGTAAAGTATATGATGGAAATATCGGATTTTGTTACCTTATCTGACATTGATGTCATTTTTAAGCTATCTGAGCCTCTATCAGCCAGTGGTGGTACAGGCCTTTAGTATTATAGCCTCTGGGAATGCATCAAACCTATTCATAGTATATGAACTAACACTAAAAATCATCGAATTCATTATTTAAAAAGTTTATTTGTGTTATTACTCGACAGATTGGCGTGTGACGTATTTCACGTTTAACATTTACAGGTAATAAAGAGCAATACGATTTTATGTTTCTTTTTATGCTACCATGTTTATATTGTACGTGATCTCAATATTTTATTGTTCGCACAATTTTTAAATATGTCATATTTTTAACTTAACGTGATAATAAAATTGTTTAGGAACAACCCCAATTCCATTTTGCTGTTGTACGATTTTGTGTTTATAATTTTTAAGTTACTGATATTTTATATTAGTAATGTAGTAATTTGAATGTTAGATATATTTTACACATTTGAAGGTCGTAAAGCAAAATAATGTTTGAAATGTATCCGTGCTTTTGAAACTATGACGTGAAAACATTGTTTAATTACTCTGTCAGTATTTTATGATACGTTAATTAGTACAAAAAGAAATTGAAGAAAAACTTAATTAATGCGAACACGCGATTACTGAAAGAAATTCCACGGTTATTACACGGTATTTTGTCATTAACTGTAAAACACTGGTGTAAAAATAATATATTAAACTGTTATAAAGGAAGTAATGGAGAATATCAGGGCCACTGTACATGGATAATTACAAATAGTTTGCAGCAGCCTTAAGTATACTGTCACCCGCTTAAACTGTCCGTTTACGGTGAGCCTTAATATCAGTAAACATGTCTTAGGGCCTGCATAAAAGTGTCTTTA